TTGTGCGATTTGCCTCCCGTTTCGGCAATTCCGATGCTACGGCTATCCACCAGCGTGTAATGGGTGGTGACCTGTCTGACGTCATGAGTGTCTATGCGCGCGAGATGCAGCAGCCATTCCGCAATGTTCTGTTTGGCGACCTCGTGCAGGCCATGCTGATACAGGTGCAAAAAGTCAAAGTCGACGTGGGCCAGACCATGGCAGCGCTTGACAAGCTGCTCAAATCCAACGAGCTCAACTTTTTGCTGCTCTCGACGGTGCCAGCCACCCTGACGCTGTACTCTGCAGCCAGCTGGGTCAGCAGCCTGTTGTCGCGCTGGATCAGCGGCGCCAGCCGGCATGCGGTTGCATCGATCCAGGTCTCCATGCGCGACATTGACCGACTGCTTAATATCGATGAGTCGAAGCCTGTGCCGCCGGCCGTGCAGGGCCAGCTAATCTGCCTCACACTTGATTTGCGCCGCCAAGCCCTGGCATTGCCGAATGCCGCAGCCCCTGGCGTCCTGAGGCTCGGTCACAATTGGCTGCCGGCTCCCCCCAGAGCGCGCTCGATGTTCCTGCAGGATGTTAGAGACCTTGAGAGCGCCAGGCTGTCTGGGCGCCAGAAGCGCCAAGTCATCGAGCGCATGCACCGCACATTCCGTTTCCTCTAGACCCATCGCCTATAAATATGCGCTTGTGTGACGAGGCCGTGGTCCACTAATGTTGTGTGGAGAGGAGGCACCGAACTCTCTTAAACCTGGGCCAATAGATACCAGGCTGGCAATCCTTCCTCTTAAAAAAAAACTAGCTCTTAACGGTCAATGTTTATGCGATTATGCACATAGGCTAAACATAGGCGAGAAACTGACTGAGGCTCATAGGCTCCACGCCCAGACACACTGGTTCTTTTTGCCGTTTTTTTTCTCGCTTGACTGGACTACAGACCGGATAGAGCAGAGGCGACAAAAGGCGATTGTTAGTGGCAGTGGACCAGCTGCAATCAGTGCACGACGCCAGGGATCGGCGTTGGTTTTTTTTTTTGATTGTTTTGCAGAAAATTCCAAGAACGTTTCCCCATTTGCATGGCCACTTTTCATCCCCAGACCTACAGTTATAAACCAGAGGTGCCCCCGCTCGCCCTCTCCTTTTCCGCCTACAAACAGCTCCTTTTTCTACACTTTTGCGCTAACGCCTGTTACACCTTCAGACCATATCATGGCATTTACGCAGCACGATGTGCACCAGCGGTTACCGTTATATCGTGCAGACAGCTATGACTGGGACAAGCCTAAATACACCCATGTCATCTCGACTGACCAAAGCCGGTGGCGACTGTCAGTCCGGTCTGTACCGAAACCCGTGGGCCTTGCTCTTTTGCTATTCATCGGTACTGTTTCGTATCTTATGTCGCTCCAAGGCGACAACCTCCTGTACATCAACGAGCACTTGGGAATCATGGGCGCTGAACTTGTGGTATCAGTAGCGTGTATGACTGCCGTTACCGTCATGCTTTACGCGAGCCGCATGCGCAGCAGTATGCGACGAGTGACATTTCTGGCGATGCTTGGCACAATGGTTGCGCTGTATTGCTACGACCACGGCGAGCGCTTCGAAAAGCACGGATTCTACAACCTCCTGGTATTTTTGGCAATCTATGTGCCACTGAACATAGCCATTGCAGTGTTCTACATACTGTGGTGCAAGATTGAGAACTTCCTCGTGTACTTTGCTGTTGGATCCATTATTGCTGGAATATCGGCAGGTATATCCCTGGTGCACTACAGACGCGTGTTTGACCAAGGCGTGCTGGGTCGATTCCAGTATATCCCCGGCGAGTGCCAATGGGTCGGCACTAACATCCCCTATGTCGACTTGCTACCTGCCGGTGCACAAAACTTTTGGGCTGGGTCATCAAAGTGCGCGAAGGAAAAGCTGCAGATCCGCGCGCACATTGACGAAACCGGCATTCTGCACGTGGACTGTGGGCATGAGGATAAGATCTATGTCGACGTGCTTCCCGATACACGCCTGTGGCCGATGAAGGACAAGGATCTATGGAATGGCTACAACCGCAATGTCCTGAATGCAACCCGGCGCATGCCCTACACCAGTGCACCCTTCAAGGTACCGCACGGCATCCAGTCGGTTGTTGTCCGGTGCGGATCAAGCAGCAGTGTTGTGACTCGAGTGAGCCCGCCCGCGCGCAGCCTCCCTCAATACGTTCCGCCTGCGGACTCGGATACTCGCAGAGACCGGAGCACTAATGACGACGACTGGTTTGATGTGAGCCAGATTGCGCACACACGGAGACAGCGCCCGAATGTTATTTTCCTGATGCTCGATGCCGTGTCTCATCGCATGTTTTTCCGTCGCCTGCCACGCACTGCACGTGTCCTGCGCACCTTGGACCGCCCCGGAGCCTCGCGTCTTTTCGAGCTATACCGCTATCATTCAGTCGGATTTAGCACGGATAACAACACCAAGGCCATGTTCGCTGGCGAAATCTACCCATCAAAAGAAAAGCAGCTACCGATCTGGGCATATTATCGCGACCGCGGATATGTGACAGCCCGTGTTGAGACTGGCTGCGACGACTGGCCGCAGGAATATCTGGCCGACAAGTTCGATCCGCAAACATTTGCGTTCTCCGACCGCAGTTTGGACTACGAGCTGACGTCGCCGTTCTGCCTGCCTGAAGTATACCCAGAAACCGGCAATGCGTTTGGGAATTTCAAGGGAACACACTCGATTACTGCACGGTGCTTGTACGGAAGGTATTTGCATGAATATGCGCTCGACTACATCCGCAAGCTGAAGCGTGATATTCGCGCGAGCAGGCGTGATGGAAAGCCATATATGATCACTGCTGCATTCATGGAGGGACACGAGGGCACCAGCGAAGTCCTTGCCACGATGGATCATGCACTGTCGGAGTTTATTGAGGGAATGCGCAATAGCGGCGAATTGGAGGACACTGTGTTTATTCTCGGCGCAGACCATGGTCTCCACATGGGACTAAACTTTGCCTTCACGCAAAATGGACGGATCGAGCACCAGAACCCATTCTTTGCCATGTCGATGCCTGAGTACCTGTACCAGTTTGCTAATGCATACCAAGAGCGCACAGGTGGTGGTCTGTCGCCATTCAAGGCGAACGAGCAGCGGCTGATGACTCCATTTGAAACGCATTATACGTTCCGCGTGCTGGCGGACTGGCCGAAATTCAATATTGACGACTGGAAGCGATCGCTATTTTCGGCACAAAAGGCTGGTCGCACATGCGAGGAGGCTGGTATCGGCGCCAGCTATTGTATGTGCAAGGTACCAGAGAGCCGGAATTAGCCGCAGTCACACTACGAGAATCCACGCTGCTATTCTCTCTTAAAATACATTTCATGCTGCATCCATCCAGCGTCATGTTACTTATTGCTGCGCACCCGTCGCGGCAGTCCCTGACGTCGACACGTCAGCCAAGTCAGGTGACCGCAAGCCAGGCGTTAACAAGAGCCCCGCTATAGTCTACGCTATGGAGGTAACGTCTAGACTGATGAATTGTACAAACGGCCGCATTGAAAACACCTCTACGCAACACGTCTATTCGCTATTCGCTATTTTATTCAGTTTGTTGAGAGGTTTTTAAAGGCGATAATTAAAACTTAACTAACACGGCAAGTCCATCAACTATAAATATGCGCTAGTGTGATGAGGCCATGGTCCACTAATGTAATGTGGAGAGGAGGCACTGGATTCTCTTGAACCTGAAGCCAATAAGCGCCAGGCTGCCAATTCTTACTCTATTTTTTTAAATAAAAACAAGCCGCGACGACGATTGCAGCTTAATGCATCCCACTTTGCAAGACGCGATTAGGCACTCCCCCTTGGTAATTCCCTACTACTAATCACATAATTAAAATTGATTTATTAATTTTATTTAGCTGCTTTGCGGTTTGGAAGTCATATGATAATTGTAAACCAGCTATCCACATTTCGCATATATATTTCTTCACTCCAATTATCTCCTATATTTTGCTTTATATATTCTTACCTTAGCAAAAAGGTATATTTTCTTATTAGAGGCTATCCACACATACTAGGCTACCTAATATATATTTAAGTCTTTCATAATTTATTATTCTTATATTATTTAGGCACTTCTATGAAACCTATTTTGTATCCTAAAAAACTTAGTTTATTTTTTATGACTAAGCCTGTATCTCAGTAGAAGTATGCTAATTATATTAATTGAAATTTTAAGGATGCTAATAGGGTTTAGTAGAAGTACCTAAATAATATTTGAATAAGAAATTATAAAAGAGTTAGGGGGTTATATAGAGGTACTTATTTAGCTATTAATTATTTATTTATATTATAACTACTGGCAATTTCAGTGAAATAAAAATTTCACCCAAACTACTATTAGCATCTTAGAAAAGTTTCAGTGAATATAGTTTTAACTAGAAAGAAAAACCTTTATATATTTGGGATTAATTATTATTGAGCAACAAAAGTCAATATCTCAATAGATGTGGCTAAGCAACCATAAGGAAATTATGTTCACTGAAACTTTTCTAAGATGCCAATGGCAGTTTGGGTGAAATTTTTATTTCACTGAAATTGCCAATAGTTTCAATATGCATAAATAATTGTTGTGCAGATAACTAACTCTGAATGACCTCCTATATATTGGTGGTCACTATATGGTTACCATAAATGTCAATACCAGTGATGGCCTAGTGAATGGTGCAACAGGTATCATGCAGCAGATAGACTATGGCATGCACAGACATGACAGCTCATTGAAAATTCCTCTTTGTATATGGCTAGAGCCAATGGATCTATGCTGTGGTGCAAAGAAGTGGCAGCAAGAACATGGTCTGGTATAAGACCTACAGATTCCCGCTGAGTGGGTGAACCTAGAGTGCTCTAAGGTCACAGTTAGCCAGCAGGAGGCATCACAGCTAGTAATCATTCGGGAGCAATTTCCACTTGCTCCTGCTGAAGCTATCACCATATATGAGTCCCAAGGTGCTACTTATCCCAAGGTGGTTGTCCATATGGGTAATCATAACAGCGGTGGAGCTGGCCGGAGCAGTCGCAGCCTTACAAGTTCTCTCATGTATGTTGCCTTCTCTAGAACAGTGTCAGGTAGTGGCCTCTACCTTATCGGTGACTTCAGAGAACCCTCACCGCCTGACAGAAATTCGTCTTTGCAGAGGGAATATGCACGACAGCAGCAGTGTCAGCTACTACCTGTATTTCGGTTTCTACGTGAGCCTTGTCAGTGTCAACAGCTGCTCTTTCACAATGTTCAGAGCTTTCGCGCACATCTCCAATTGGTTACTAGCGACAAGGTTTACATGCATAGCGACTTGCTACTCTTTGCAGAAACTTGGCTGTGTGAGGACCAGCCATGTGAGATACCAGGGTTCACTATGGTTGCTTCGGCTAGTAGAGGATCACATGGTTCATCTGCTGTAGGTGCTTGTTGTTATGTGTCAGAACGTCTCCAATCATTAGTCCATGGTGTAATGGCCGGGATCCAGCGATTCGGCCGCCAGTCAGTAAGTGCTGCTGTAGCAACAATCAGGGGGGCATGCTTCATCTCTATGTATGCGTCACCTGGCACACGCGTGGAGCAGATCAACAGCACAATTGCACCATACTTCAGCGAGACTTCCATGCGCTATGTTCTTGCTTGTGACATCAATATCGACTTGCGCAAAAATGGAGAGCAGCAGAGGCAGATGCAGGCATTGCTTAATAAACTACAACCTGCGAATGACCACTCCAAGCGACAGCTATTCTACTCGCGCTGGCACCAGAATCGATTACACATTTACAACCTTGTCGAATACAGAGGCAGGTGCATACGCCACGGTCTCAAAAAGTTTCTACTATCTGCTCTGGCTTCGCTTTAACTTCTGCGACGAGGCTTTAATATCTTAGATGTTTAAATAATAGATATTATCCTACTTATAAAGGTAAGAGGAATATCTAAAGCAGAAAGTGGAAGGTAATTGGGACTGAAGAAACGTACATACGAAACGTAGCTAGATGGCTTGCAATTATCACATGACTGCCAAACCGCAGAGCTGCTATATAAAACTCGCCAATCAATTGATAATGATGGGATTAGCAATAGGGAATTGTCAAGAGGGAGTCCCTAATTGCATCTCGCTTTGCGAGACGCATTATTTTTTTCGCTGGACTGGGCTACAGACCGGATAGAGCAGAGGCGACAAAAGGTGATTGTTAGTGGCAGTGGACCGGCTACAATCAGTTCACTATACTAGGGATGGGCGCTGATTTTTTGATTGTTTTGCAGGGCATTCCAAGCTAATAACCTGTTTTCCAATTTCCACGGCCATTTTCCATCTCCAAACACTCGGCTATAAACCAGAGGAAACTCCGCACGCCCTCTCCTTTTCCGCCTACAAACAGCTCCTTTTTCTACACTTTTGCGCTAACGCCTGTTACACCTTCAGACCATATCATGGCATTTACGCAGCACGATGTGCACCAGCGGTTACCGTTATATCGTGCAGACAGCTATGACTGGGACAAGCCTAAATACACCCATGTCATCTCGACTGACCAAAGCCGGTGGCGACTATCAGTCCGGTCTGTACCGAAACCCGTGGGCCTTGCTCTTTTGCTATTCATCGGTACTGTTTCGTATCTTATGTCGCTCCAAGGCGACAACCTCCTGTACATCAACGAGCACTTGGGAATCATGGGCGCTGAACTTGTGGTATCAGTAGCGTGTATGACTGCCGTTACCGTCATGCTTTACGCGAGCCGCATGCGCAGAAGTATGCGACGGGTGACATTTCTGGCGATGCTTGGCACAATGGTTGCGCTGTATTGCTACGACCACGGCGAGCGCTTCGAAAAGCACGGATTCTACAACCTCCTGGTGTTTTTGGCAATCTATGTGCCACTGAACATAGCCATTGCAGTGTTCTACATACTGTGGTGCAAGATTGAGAACTTCCTCGTGTACTTTGCTGTTGGATCCATTATTGCTGGAATATCGGCAGGTATATCCCTGGTGCACTACAGACGCGTGTTTGACCAAGGGCGTGCTGGGTCGATTCCAGTATATCCCCGGCGAGTGCCAATGGGTCGGCACTAACATCCCCTATGTCGACTTGCTACCTGCCGGTGCACAAAACTTTTGGGCTGGGTCATCAAAGTGCGCGAAGGAAAAGCTGCAGATCCGCGCGCACATTGACGGAAACCGGCATTCTGCACGTGGACTGTGGGCATGAGGATAAGATCTATGTCGACGTGCTTCCCGATACACGCCTGTGGCCGATGAAGGACAAGGATCTATGGGAATGGCTACAACCGCAATGTTCTGAATGCAACCCGGCGCATGCCCTACACCAGTGCACCCTTCAAGGTACCGCACGGCATCCAGTCGGTTGTTGTCCGGTGCGGATCAAGCAGCAGTGTTGTGACTCGAGTGAGCCCACCCGCGCACAGCCTCCCTCAATACGTTCCGCCTGCGGACTCGGATACCCGCAGAGACCGGAGCACTAATGATGACGACTGGTTTTGATGTGAGCCAGATTGCGCACACACGGAGACAGCGCCCGAATGTTATTTTCCTGATGCTCGATGCCGTGTCTCACCGCATGTTTTTCCGGTCGCCTGCCACGCACTGCACGTGTCCTGCGCACCCTGGACCGCCCCGGAGCCTCGCGTCTTTTCGAGCTATACCGCTATCATTCAGTCGGATTTAGCACGGATAACAACACCAAGGCCATGTTCGCTGGCGAAATCTACCCATCAAAAGAAAAGCAGCTACCGATCTGGGCATATTATCGCGACCGCGGATATGTGACAGCCCGTGTTGAGACTGGCTGCGAAGACTGGCCGCAGGGAATATCTGGCCGACAAGTTCGATCCGCAAACATTTGCGTTCTCCTACCCGCAGTTTGGACTACGAGCTGACGTCGCCGTTCTGCCTGCCTGAAGTATACCCAGAAACCGGCAATGCGTTTGGGAATTTCAAGGGAACACTCGATTACTGCACGGTGCTTGTACGGAAGGTATTTGCATGAATATGCGCTCGACTACATCCGCAAGCTGAAGCGTGATATTCGCGCGAGCAGGCGTGATGGAAAGCCATATATGATCACTGCTGCATTCATGGAGGGACACGAGGGCACCAGCGAAGTCCTTGCCACGATGGATCATGCACTGTCGGAGTTTATTGAGGGCATGCGCAATAGCGGCGAATTGGAGGACACTGTGTTTATTCTCGGCGCAGACCATGGTCTCCACATGGGACTAAACTTTGTTTTTACGCAGAACGGACGGATCGAGCACCAGAACCCGCTCTTTGCCATGTCGATGCCTGAGTACCTGTACCAGTTTGCTAATGCATACCAAGAGCGCACAGATGGTGGTCTGTCGCCATTCAAGGCGAACGAGCAGCGGCTGATGACTCCATTTGAAACGCATTATACGTTCCGCGTGTGGCGGACTGGCCGAAATTCAATATTGACGACTGGAAGCGATCGCTATTTTCTGCACAAAAGGCTGGTCGTACATGCGAGGAGGCTGGTATCGGCGCCAGCTATTGTATGTGCAAGGTCCCAGAGAGCCGGAATTAGCCGCGTTCACACTACAAGAATCCACGCTGCTATTCTCTCTTAAAATACATTTCATGCTGCATCCATCCAGCGTCATATTACCTATGACTGCGTTGCTTCAAGTGTCTATTGTTAGGACACAGACTATCTATGGCGAGTGTGACACAGAGCACAAGTAGCTCAAAGGCATTATTTACCGATCCGCCTTTCACTCAGCACACAAGATGTTCTTTTCTCAGTGATACCTGCCGCTGATAGCGCCGATACCAACAGCTTGACTAGTGGGTGCATGCTGTTGAGTAATGTCGACAATGTCCCGCAGCTGGAGCGTGCCTATTGAGATTCAATAAAAAATTTTTTGCGCCATGTAGTGGCTGTCTCATATTGTCGTTTTCGACAATCCACGGATTGTCGATATTGAAAA